GAAAACTTTTAATTTCCTGAGAGATATTAGAAAGTCATGGGGCCTGCCAGAGCTTTTATATGTCTAGATCTAGATCTATAATCTATCTCCATCTATCTGTAGGGTCAGTGGGGGACAAAAAATACTTTCTAATTGCACCCTGTGGGCACAGCTTGTTCAATGTACCTGTTACAGAGTTCCCAAATCTTTCCCCTTCTCTTCTCCATCGACTCTGCCTGTGTTTCTTTCATCACCTGTTGCTTCGGGCACAGCCCCAACTACCCTCCAGTATTTTGGACACACGTGTCCTCTCTCTGTCATCCAGGTTCTTCCCTGTATGTCTACATCTGCCAGGAAGGCTGTCCCCCCAACCCCTCCTCCTGCCTGTGTACCTTTTATCCTCTAGATCTGAGACTTAATTTCTCTTTCTCTGGGAAACCTTTCTTCCCTCTCCTCCCTTCCACTCTTGCAGGGTTACCTGACTCCCATATGCTTCTCTGACCGGCAGAATTCCCCTCTGCCCTAGCATTGACTCTCTGATGCTGCTGTCTCTACTTTATTCCCTCCTTCCAAACTATCTCCTCCTTAAAGGCAGGGCCCATGCCTTATCCATCTATTTCTAGTATTTAATGGGTTGTGTTCAATGGGCAAGTAAATAAATGATATCTCCACTGTCTGATGCATATTTCAGAGAACCCGGTGCAAGGCACATAGTAGGCTGTACATTCAGACCAAGCCAGTTAGCTGAATTCTAAATTTCTGCATCTTTTCTGGGCCACACCAGCCATTCTCTTCTCCCACAGCCAGCATTTTCTGATTTCAATATGCCCACAACTATAAGTCTATGTGGAAACCAGTTTGCTCAGGACCCAAGGTCTCTGTTCCCAGTGTTTTCCTCATTCATTATTAGTCGAAGAGATATTTCCTGGAGCTTGTAACCAGACCATAAACAAAGGCCAGAGAAGCTCTGGGTTATTTTATGATTCCAGTTTAGCCTTTCTCTCTCTCTCTCTCTTATTTTTCTTCTTCTTCTTCTTCTTCTTCTTCTTCTTCTTCTTCTTCTTCTTTTTTAATCATTTGAACAGAGCATATTTATTACTTGGCAGGCCAGTAAATTATAAATAGGGTTTGCTAAAGAATGGTCCAAAATTCTCCAGAATTTATCATTTCACAATGACAATAAAAACAACAAACCACAGGAAAGAAAGGAGAGGGATGTTTAATGGCACTGAGTGTGTGCCCAGTGATTTATCTGCATTCTTCCATGTAATGCTCAAAGCAACCCTGTGAACCAAATAATCGTTATCCTTACTTTACAGATGAAGAAACTGAGGTTCAGAGTGGTTAATTAACTGGGTTAAGGCCCTTAGCTAGAACGATGCAAAGCAGAACTGACACACAGGACTCCTATATCAGACACGTGGACGGAGACCGTCATCAGCCAGGGCAGAAGCCTCTGAAGATGTCCCCCTTTTAGATTCTGTTAAAAGCCATGCATTTTCCTTCTAAAAAATGAACTATGCATCTTTACTCACAGTTTTGCATAAACTGTGGACAGTTCATAGGCTCTTCTTGAAGTCCATGCAGAAGCCCCTGAGTTAAGACTCCCTTAACTAAAAGAATGAAAACAGTTCTGGGCTTTGCCTGACTGGCTGTCCAGAACACCTTTGTATTGGTTTTCCCTATTAGACTGAACGCTTATGCTCACAGAATCACTCCATCTTTAGACTCGCCAAACAACAGAATTGTGGATTCTTGATTTCATAAATTCATCTAAGCATGGGATTATAAAATTTCAGATTTCAGAATCAGAAAAAAATCTTAGAATATCAGAGCCGATGGGACCACAGTAGATATCAAGTCCACCCGTGATACCACGGCTCTGACAGGTAAAAGTCTCAGACACGGAAGCTAGAGAAGGCAGGTTCCCCAGTAATGGTGGTGGAATCAGCGTTCAAACCCCAGAGGCAGATCATCAGGTTAAAGACTCACCCAATAAAAGGAAAACTATGCAGTCTGCACGGGGGTGAGAAAAGTGGGGGCAGAAGGAACATCTGTTGAGTACCTATCACGTGCCAGGCAGTGCCTGTGGATTGGAGACCCAATGCATCATTTCACTCTGGCAAGAACCCTTCAGAGTATTATCACTACTTTCAGCCTTACGAATGGGGAAATAGGCTCAGAGTGGTGAGATAAGCAGCCCAAGGTCACACAGCAGGGGAAGCATCAATGACTGTGTCAGTTGCTGCATTTCCCCGATGGAGCGGAGAAGGAAAGTCAGAGAACAAGCCCAAGTAACATAAGCGGTTCTAGGGAGAACAATTAAGCTGACAGATACATATGTTCTAGTGGGTGGAGAGGCAGATGTTACTGTGGGCTGGGGTGTAACATCCCTCAGGATTCCCTCCTCCCTAATCCCTTCCCTGGCCTTACTCTCACCCAGCATGCCCTGGATAACTAATGTGTCCTCCACGTGCCCTGACGGGAGAAGGGCCGCTCTGGGGGGCAGACATGCAAACCCTGCCATGGGAACCCTAAGCCCCCACTCTGTGAGCCACTTGGTGTTGGAAGGCCAAGGCCCTCAGTTGTGGTGACTCTATGAGACCCTTTGTCCCATGAACCCCGCCGACATGGCCACGGCCCTTGTTCTAACAGCCCCTTCTTCACACGAATGCAGGTCCTCATTCAGAGTTGCCTACGCCTTCTGCATGTTTTAACTGACAGTCACTGAATACTGAAAGCTGACAGTACAGATTCACACACATTACTTCATTTTAACTCCCTGCAGCTCAGTGAGGTTTAGTGCTATGTCCTCCTGTTATAGAGGAGGACACTGAGGCCCAGTCAGATGACAAAAGTTGCCCAAGGTGACACATCTGGCAAGCGACTAGGCCGGGATTCAAACCCAGATTTGTTTCCATGGAAAACCTGCTCTTTGCTCAATGCCCCATTTTTCATGATGGTCTCTATTTAATTTCCATAGCAGGGATTAGGAGAGCGATGGCTCACGGTCCCTCTGTGAAGGGGACGGGCTCATCTTGGGGAGGTCACAAGACTTGCTGAGGGGCAGTTCAGGTCTCTCGAGTCCCGGTCTGAAGGACTTCCTCCCAGACCATACTGTCATTCCCGCCTCCCCGAGTAGACCGAAAGCTCTGGGAGTCAGGGACCTTGGCTTGTTGTTGAGTATTTTACCCCGGGTGCCTCATAGAATTCCTGGCACGTACTGACAGTGTGTTTATTTTGATGAATGAGGACTCGGTGTTGAGGGGGAAATCTGGGCCTGGGCCAAGGGAGGGGCAGTCTACAAAGCAATGCATTTACTTCCAACACAAAAGCATGTGAGGTGCTGAGAAAGCATCTCTGGCATCAGAAATCAACCACAGACTCAGTGCAGGTCTCCTTGAGTGGGACCTACCCCTCACTACGAATAAATCTGTGGGATCCCTTCTGTCACGCATGCTCAGAAAGGCAGCATCGGGGAGAGCAAAGCAGGAGCAGCGTGGACTTCCACCTCTCTGTGTATTATAGGAGTTAGCAGGTCCTGGAGAAGTCATGGCTACACATCAAGTGTGGGGTGGGGGAGGGGCAGGGAGGAACAGCAAGGCACATACAAGTGGCCAGGGTCCTCTACCTCAGAACAGAGCCTCCTCCCTTGGCCTTGAGATATTAAAGCAGATTTTAAGATGACTGTCTCTGGCTTGGCAACTGGAAGGAGGGGGACTTTCAGCTCTTATCATGATCTTTCCAGTGTTCTGCCGGATTTGGAGCACCATTCTAACACCTGACCTATCCTCGGCTCACCCTTCCGTCCGACGCCATCGCCCTGCCTCCCATGTACTCAGCAAGGTAACTGGATCCCCCAGAGCCACCAGGCTGCCGCTGACTGAGTGGACTAGTCTGGAGTCATGCCCCAACCAGAAAGGAGCTTTTCCTGCACAGAGTATGGCAGGAACTCTGGAAACTCTGGAAACACTCACCCAAGGTTGAAAAAGGCTAAAAGGAGCATTTCCACTTTGGGGAGAGAGAATTTATATATATATATACACGGAGTTAATATTATCCCTTTCCTTTCTCCTCTGTCAACTAGAATCCTTTCTCTAAGAAAGCTCAGTGTTAGGAGAGGAGAAATGGGTCAGTCCAAAAACAAAAAGATAAAGGAACACAAAAACTGTCACAATCTGTCACCATCCTTATGCAGTGACCTTGATATTAAAATCAACACCCAGGAAACTAGAATGACTAAAGTAGTCCCTAGAAAGTCAAGCAAGCTGGAAATAACCTGCAATTTCATTATAACAAGCATAGGGGCTTTTGGAAAATGTTGTCATGAAGTCAAGAGGAAAACCAATTTGGTGAAGGAAATGCCAAATCAGAAAGAAAGATGTGCAAAGGATGGGAAGGAAGGCAGGGCAGACAGAGGCATGGGAAGAGAAGGAGAGGAGAGGAGGACGGAGAGAAGAAAGAAGACAAGAGGGAGGGAACATAGTAGGGAGAAAATGAAAAACCACAGAAACTAGAGCTGGAAGGAGAGAGGACAAGGAGAGAAAAATGATACAATGAAAACTGGTGAACAGAGAGAAAAGAGGGCAAGAGTGTAAAGAGATTGGAGGTGAAAAGAGAAAATATAGTTTTACATGTTCGAGGTTAGAAGGAGGAGTCAAGACCACTCAGGTCTTCCTCAGCAGCCCAAGGGACGGTCCTCCAGACTGTGTGCTCACATATCTTAGATGACAGAAGACCCACTCTGTCATGAGGACATGGAAGGGAGACAGAGAAGAGAGCAGCATAAGGCCATAGCAGAGGCAGGTGGGAAGGGGGGGGGGCGTCCATTAGCAGGGCAAGGGCCAAACAGGACAATCCAAAGATGCCATCAGCAGAACAGCCTCCATCCTCACCCCAGAGTGTCAGCCCTCACTGAGCTGGAGACCAGATTCCTGATCTGCCCATTAAGTCTCACCAGACCTGGATACTCTCCGCTAGATGTGGGCTGGCCCCGGGCTGGGGGGACTTGCCAAGGATACAGGCTTCCTCCGTGTAGGGCACAGCGGCCGTGGTGCCTCCAATGATGTAGCTATAGAAGGAGACCTCGAGGGTGTAGCAATAGGAAGTGTGGTCCAGAAGCCCCCCGAGGAAGCGACGTCCGGTTCCTGCTTTCACCGCATCCCGGTTAAAGGATGTGCTGGACTGGGAAAGACAAAGCAGGGAGGAGAGAATCAGGACCGGGCCCCTGCTGGCTATTGGCATTTGAGCAAGTCTTACAACACATCTGGGTCTCAGCTTCCTCCTCTGGAAAGTGGGATGTTAATCACACATCACAGGGTTATTATGGGGACTGATGAAATAAACAGAACTAATAGAAGGCATCCAACTTTGGATAGTGACTGCCATTGAACAATTATTTGTGGGAATCTGAATGGGGATGGATGAAGCAAGGGAGAGCAGACAGAGCAAGAAGCATTGATACTGTGATGATAATCAAAGTTAAAATTTGGGCAGTGCTTTCAACTTTATAATGTTGTTTCCCACACGGCATCTCCTTTATGCTTCAGACTAACCCCTTCATGGAGGTGTTGCCGCTTTGCCCCTCTGGGTGAGACAAGGAGGCTCACAGAGATGGAGGATGCAAGGGACACAGCACAGATTTGTACCGAGGACCGAGTGACTCCAGACATCCCAACCCTCCTTTGCAATGCTCCCCCGCCACGAGGGGCACCTGAACTCCCACCCAACATCACCAGGTGGTAGGGATCATGGCTGTTCCTCCGCTAGGGTATCGGCCTCACCCATCCCGGTAGACAGAGAGAGGACAGGAACAAGCAGGTTGACATCTTAAGGCCTCTGTTCAAAAATGTGCGAGATGGGAGCACCCAGGTGGCTCAGTCGTTGAGCGTCTGCCTTCAGCTCAGGTCATGATCCCAGAGTCCTGGGATCAAGTCCCACATTGGGGTCCCTGCTCAGCGGGGAGCCTGCTTCTCCCTCTGACCCTCACTCTACTTGTGCTCTCTCTCTCTAATAAATAAATAAATAAATAAAATCTTTTAAAAATGTGGGAGATGTTAGGCAACTTGCCTTGTTTGGCTTAGCCTCAGTTTCTTCATCTATAAAATGGAGGTGATAATAATATTTCTTTCATGGAATTGTGAGGGTGACTCATCTGTGGTTAAAGGGGGCATTCTGTGGTCACCCGTGGAGCTCCAAGTAAATAAAGAGACTGTGGTTTTAATAAAAGAATGTGTGTCTTGTGAAGCAGGGTATAAGAGAAGAAGGAAAAGAGGGAGAAAGAAAATAGCAAAACAAGGCAGGTATTTAGAGACAAGTTTAAACAAAGAGAAGCGTGTGTGTGTGTGTGTGTGTGCGTGTGAATTCTGAGGTAAAGAAAGGGGTCAGAAAATTAGAATGTCACATCTGAAAACACCCTTGAGGTCCATGCAGTGAAATCATTTTAGAGTCGGGTACCAACGATCAGAAAAGAAGGGAGACAGAGACTGGATGAGAACAGATGACCTTGACCCTGGCCTTGAGCTCTTAAGTTGGCTGCAGTACAGGAACATCATCAGGCAAGGCCAGAAACAAAGCTCCTAGACTGTGCCCCTTTTGTTTGCCATGGGAACCTCACCCCTGTGAGGGTCTCTGAGGCGTCCCGGAGAATATGACCCAGGAGACCACGGTCTGAAATTCAGTAGTTTCAAAAAGCCTGGGACTGGCCATCCTATAGATTCCTGCAGAAACAGGCACGGCTCTTTCTACCCCAGAGATGCAAATTGCTTCGATTCTGCCGCCAAATGCTGAGTCACTCCGCTGCACATACTGAACTTCTCTGGGCCATAGGTGTCTCTTGAATACAAAGAGGAGACTGAGCCAGTTCCTTTCCTGGCCTGGCATTCAAAACTTCTGGGATTCAAAGTGTATATTTCTTCATGGAGAAATTCGTCATCTCCACTAACGTCCAGGCCTGGAGCAATGGGCAGGGAAGTTTTCAGTTCATCACCTTCAAAAATTGCTATGACCTTTGTGGGACTCTCCCCCTCTGGCCACCTGGAAATAACAGGCCTTGGACTTTCAGTATCAAAACAAAGGAAAATGTACAAAAACTCTCTCCCATGTCCCCACACCCCACGCTGATTCTCTTCCTTATCTTCTCTCCTTGCCCTTTTCCAGTACCGCTTTTTGCTGCAAATTATTCTCGCTGCTGAGTCTTCCTCCGCGTGTGAGATGGGGAGTAACAACCGGTCTCTGGGATCTGCTGAGGTCTTCACTGTCTGCAGAGTCCTCGGCTGCCTGTTACTGCCTCTGCCCTCCCAGGAAGCTATGATGCGGGCAGGGCAGAACATGACCGCCCACAAACTACTGAGGAAGAAATCAAGACCCACAAACTGTCATGGATGGAGGGAGGGAGAACATGGCGGGCACATGACCCCCTTCAGCAGGGGGTGAGGCTCCTACTAAAAGAGCCGGATGAGGAGAAGGTAGACCCCAGACCCCCCGGTGCAGGAGCCAGGGTGTGGTAGGTACTTGGTGAGTCCCTTATCTTGCGAAAGCCGGGGTCACCTCAACTGAACAAATCCTGGCTCCTCAGAAAGACCAGATGCTGCCTTTTCCAAGACTCTCCCCGCTGACTGGTGAGGCACTGCTTGTTCGCCTCTGTCTTTATCACCCACACAGGGCCTGGCACAGAGCTGGCTGGCATCCTGAGAACAGTAAACCCCACTGAGTTGAGTGAAGAGGAAGGGGAGGGAGCTGGGTGGGGGCTGCTGAGAGAGAACTCTTGACATACGTATGAGAAGTCCTCGGCATTCTGGCAGAGGAGCTTGGGGAAAATGGCCTGCCTCTGGAACCGTTCCTCATCCTCAAAGATGTTGCCGTACATGAAGCCATTCATCATGGTGGAGTGGGCGTGGATGTCAATATAAAACTCCAGGCTTGTTTTCTGTTGAAAGAAAGGATGACAAATGAGAAGTCTGGGGTCACAGAGCTCGCCTTAAAGGACCAGACGCTAAACACAGTGTGCAACACACACGACTTCCTCCCGAGCTACGCCTGTGGGTCAGACTTAGCACGCCTCTGCAATGTAATTGGAAGGGTTAAGACTTGTGAACCCCAGTTTCTCCTCACTTCTAACACCATCTGCCCCCGGGGGCTGAGAGCACTACCTTTAGTTGCCCTCTTCAGAGTTCTGAAGGGGTGAGGGCTTTGGTGGGTTATATCAGGATGTTGCTTACCCAGAACAGTTAATAACATTCGTGACTAAAGGCACTAACCGACTGTTTTTCTGATTAATGAGAAATACCTTCAGATGACACAACTGTATTTCTATTGGGGCTGCTTATGGTTTGGGCCCAACCGGGCCATTTCTAGCTGAGGGAGTCTGGGGGAGATCGTGGTCCTACAAGGAGTCTCAGCTTTTGTATTTGGCAAGTGGGTCATTTTACTTCCAACCTCAGAGAGTTACGGTGGGAACCAAACATTGCAGCGATAATTACTATCATTTACTGCACATTTTAATGCATGCCGAGCACGACTCTAGGAGTTTTACATGTGACATATTAATTCTTTTATTTAACCTCATTTTATGTTGCCATACCTGCTCCCCAATAATATATAAATAGGGCATGGAAAAAATAGTACACCTTATACCTTGTACTCTGTAAAGATGATTTTGACTTTCTCTGCTCTCTACTTACACATATTTAAGGGATTCCCTAGCCTGATATGGCATTATTTGCAAATATTCCAAATTACGAGCTCCCTGAAGGTAGGGAGAGGGCTGTAAAGAGCCTGTGTCTGGACATAAAGGGGGCTTAGGAGCTGCTGCAGAATGACTGGACCAGTGACTCCAGAGAGACTGCCCAGACACCAGAACAGACTGGCAAGAATTGGGGAATTTTTTTGGCTCCCAAATCTTCAATGTCCCTCAAATCTGACCTTCTCTTCTTATATATCAGCCCAATGTATACCTAAAAATCCTTTCTGAGAGTGACAGAAGCTCCGAGTTTGAGAGAGGCTTGTCTAGCCTAGCAAAACGGAGACTGAAACCCGGGTCGCCTGACCGCCGGCACAGTTAACTTCCCACCATCAACGGGTCAACTCTAGAAATGGCCAAGGCAAACCCCGGCCACCTTTCCATCCCCTTTTGAGCATGCATTCCTGGGAAAGAAAGAGAGACTGTGTGTAGAAGGCTTCTTCCTCCTTGGGACACTTTGAAACGAAGTTAAAACCAAATGAAAACTGTGTTGCTTCTAGAATGTGGGCCTGATGACTGTCATTTCATTTGCCTCTGAGTTGGAGTGAAAAATTATGTCTTGCCGAGCTCCCAACTCTCTGGGTAGCATAAGCTGTCTTCGGAGAGACACAAGATGCACTGCTCTGTGTGATATTAAACTCATCATTTTCAGCTTTGGAGGTGGAATACACAATGATTCAACAGGAGCCCTATAAAAGTCATCTTCGCAATTTTATTTTCTTCAATTGTCTGTCTTTTCCTCTGAGCTTTTGATGAGCTGCGGAGGAGAGGAGGAGGCAGAGAGATGACTTAAGAAATGTGTAAGGAAAAGAAAACTACAGTTTCTAAATCTCTGGACGCCGAAGCTGGAAGCCAGCAGCTTTGACCTTGCCAGGCTCGGTGCCGTGCAGGTGTGGGGGGTGGGAGGGGGGCGGGGTGCTGCTTGCTGGAGGCTGGCCGGCCAGCCACTTAGCAAAGGAGAAAGAATTAGAACCTGGTTCTTCTGGTAACATTCTGGAGTGGCTTCCGCTGCTCTATCCTGACACCTAGCACCTGGTACCTAATGTGATTTTACTTTAAATAACCAGCAAGTTATACTGATTGATCTACATGGTTCAAAAGTCAAAAAGATATGGGAGGATTTATAGGGAGAAACCTCTATCATCTCTTCCAATCTCTAGGCACCCAGTTTCACTCTCCAGAGGCCACTCATGTTATCAGGTTCTCCTGCTTCCTTCCAGAGATGTTTCACACAGAAACAAGTAAATATCCATCCCCTACCCAACCCTGCTGTCCCCAGGACAAACAAATGAGGGCACACTGAACACACTATTTGGATCTGCTTTTTTTCTCCTAACATGTCTTGGAGGTAATTTTTTCTCAGTGCAGAAACAGTTACTTCATTCTTTTTAACAGCCATATATAAACTGTATAGCCAGTCTCCTATCGACAGACATTTAAGTGATTTCCAACCTTTTCCTGTTACCAAAAATGTCTCAGTGATTGACTCTGAATATACGCTATTTCACACATATATAATTATCTGTAGGATAAATTTCAAGAAGCAGAATTTCTGGGTCCCCTGTGCATTGCAGTTCTGATCAATACTGACAGACTGACCTCTCCAAAAGGACCAGTTCGTACTCCTAGCAAAATATTACAATGTCTCTTTGGCAATTAACTTGACAACATGGGTGGAACGAAACTTTTTAATATTCGCCAATTTGGTGGGAGGGTGAAATAAGATATCTAAGAATAGTTTTGTTTGTTTTTTTTTTTAAGTAGGCGCCACACCCAGTATGGAGCCCAGCACGGGGCTTGAACTCAAAGCCCTGAGATCAAGACCTGAGCTGATATTAAATGTCAGATGCTTAAACAACTGAGCCATCCAGGCACACCTAAGATTAGTTTTAATCTGAATTTCTCTTAGTATAATTCTCTTTTATTGCTTGGTTAAGTTTAGGCTTTTCATACGTTTAAGAACCATTTGCATTTTGTTTTCTATGAATTGTCTATTAATTTCATCTGCCCATTTTGAAAGCTGGAATATTAGTTTTTATGTTTAGTACAAAAATATTTTTGCTCTGCTTGTCATTTTTTTTTCACTTTACTTCTACTAGTACTTTTTTCCATTCATAAATTTCTAAATGCTGATTTTTTTATACAGATTTATCAATCTTTCCTTTTGTGGTTTCTGAGTCAAATTCTTTCATCATTTCTTCTATTAATTTTATTGTTTCACTTTTTATATTTAAATATTCCATTTCAAACTTAATTTACATGGACCTAGTTTGTGAGGTAAGGATTGCACTTTACTGTCCCACACTATTTATGAAATTGTGCATTTTCTCCCCACGGACTTGAAAAGTCATCTTTACCATACACATTTTTGGTATGGATTTGGGTTTATTTTTGTGCTTTTTATCCTGTTCTAATCATTTATCTATTCTTGTGTCAATACCACACAGTTTTAATTATGTTAAGTTTATAATGTATCTTGTTTCATTTTATAGTTTTAAGTGTAGTTAACATCTGTCACCATGCAACACTATTACAATCCCACTGACTATGTTTCCTATGCTGCACCCTTCCTCCTCATAGACTTATTCCTTCTATAACTGGAAGCCTGTACCTCCAACTCTCCCTCCCTCATTTTGCTCATCCCCTGCCCCTGGCAATCACCAGTTCATTCTCTATAATTGTAGGTCCTTTTCTGGTTTTTTGTTTGTTTGTTTTTTTAGATTCCACATATAAAGGGAAATCATAGGGTATTAGTCTCTGACTTATTTCACTTGGCATAATGCCCTCTGGATCTATCCACATTTATCACAAATACCGAGATCTCATTCCTTTTTATGGCTGAGTAATATTCCATCATAGATACACATTTATACCAATCTTTATCCATTCATTTATCAATGGACATCTGGGCTGCTTCCATATGTTGGCTATTGTAAACAATGCTGCCATAAAAATAGGGGTGAATGTATCTTTTCAAATCAGTGTTTTATATAATGCATTTTAATATTTGAAGGGCTTATTATCACCTCATTATGGTTCTTTTCCCAAATATTCCTGTATTGTCTTGCATATTTTTCTGTATGATCTTTATTATTAGCTTGTTTAATTTTCTTTCTCCCCTAACCCTGTCAATAGTCTCAATAATATAATAATATTAGACTTCATATTACCATAGGACGAATCAATTCTTGTGACCAGAGACTTCCAATCCAAGAATATATTTTGACTTTCCATTTATTCAAATTTTCTCTTGGGTAAAGCAGGACATTTTTAAAAAGTTTTTGGTTTTGTTTTCATATAAATCATGAATATCTTTTTTGATGCCAAGGCAGCTTACATTATTACTTGTTGCTGTAAATGTGATGCTTTCTTCCATTAATTCTTCTAATAGTTCTTTAAATAAAAAGGTTCTTATTCTTTTTTGTAAAGTTTATTTATTTTTTAAGAATTCTCTATAGTCATCAAGGGCTCAAACTCATGATCCCAAAATCAAGAGTTGCATGCCCCTTCAACTGAGCCAGCCAGGTACCCCTAAAGGCTCTTGTTTTTGACATATTGAATTTGTACTCCATACTTCACTAATTCTATTATTATTTGTAATAATTTATCATTTGGTTTTCTTGGATTTTCATCTGCTTATTCAACAAATAATCGCTTAGTGCCTATAATGTATCAGACACTGTTCTAGGCATTGGGTATACACCAGGGAGTGTGCTGGGTCCTGGGGACGGAGCAGTGAATACAACAGAAAGTTCCTGAGCTCCAAAAGTTTACAGTCTATGAGGAGAGAAAGGGAATAAACAAATCAATTAATAAACACAAGATGTCAGGAGGCATTAGTGCCATGGAGGCAAATAAAGTAAAGAAGTGGAATAGAAAGTAGCAGAGGTTTCTGGAAAATTGGCAGCATGAACAGAGGAGGAGAGTTAGTCTTGAGGCTATCAGTTGGAAGAGTTTTCCAGGTGAAAGGAGAAGTAAACGCAACAATGACATGCACTTGGCATGTTTCAGGAACAGCAAGGAGGTCAGGATGCCTGGAAAGAAGGAGTGAAGAAAGGCGTTTGTAAACTTGTCACCTGTACATAGTACTTCTATCTCCTGCCTGCCCCCCCTCCCCAGTTTTTATGCTTCTCATTTCTTTTTCATATTTAACCACATTGGGTAGTATTTCCAAAACAACATTGAGG